TGGACTGCATCGACTTTATTGGCAACGATCTAAATTGATAGAGGAAAAGAGAGACGGAAAATAAGTTACTGACCGGAAGTGAATTATGCGATAAAGTTTAGGAAGGTATCAAAGAGGATAGGAAAAGAAATTTCTTACGAATTTTACCGAGAGAAAAGGAACATTTCTGCTGAAACGACAGCAATCTCCTTTCGCCAATTAAGAACTTTGTATACTCGGTCCTAGTTATATTCAAAGTCGAGCGTCGAAAGCGGTCGAGCTTGACGTCGCTCGATTGATATATACACACAGGCAAATACATACACAAACATATACATAGAGAAACAAGTAAACGAAGAGACATAGTCGAGGCAGTTTAGTTAAACCAATTTACGCGACCACATAGTTAATACAATGTATTTCTAGCACCGTGAACTACTCGACGAATGATGCTTCCGTAGTGCAAACAGCCGAACTCAAAGTTTCGTATATTGAGTGGCCGACAACACGACCAGGGCATAGCTTGGTTGTTCCACTTCAAATCGACTACTGGCGCATGGTGACATGATTATCATCATTATAATTATTATTGTTATTCGGCCAAAATTATTTCATAAATCTAACGGAAAATCGGTAAAAAAAATAAAGGGTAAGTTAGTCGATAGAACGCATTGAGAAGAGAATTTCCAATGTGGCCGAAAGTTCAAATAATCGAAAAATTAAAAGGCCTCCTCAATCTCTTCCTCTTTCTCTCTCACTTCCCCTCTATCCCTTTCTCTCTTTCTCTATCTCTTTCTCTCCTTGCTGCTGCTCCTTCTCTTCAAGCACCGTCGTAGACGACATCTGGCATTAATTCGAAGCTTAACACCGAAGCAGTTTGAATTTTAGATATCCACCGGCCCTCGCCGAACGTAGATATCTGGCTCGCACTCCGCATATAATTTCCGTGGGAGGAAAAGAGGAAGGGTAGTAGGGTGAACTCGAAAGCAGACGCGCCTCCAAGAAGAACGATGGTACACGGTTTCACGGTATAAGTAGTATCGTTGAAATATGGCCTCGACGGAATCGTTTTTATCCGCGTATTTCATACGCGAAAACCGGCCACGTTTTCTCGCACGAGTGAGCATCAAACGTGGGATAAAATTCCAAGAAACGCTTTTGGAATCGTTAACGCGTTTTCTACGCTTCTCGTTTGAGGTCACTCCATTTCGCAGATCCCATTGATAATATTTATAGGATTGATGCATTGTCTATGCATATTCTAAAAAAAAATATATATATATAAACAAAAAAGAAAAGGAAAAAAAGAACAGAATTAGTTTATCTCTTGCGTAAAATTAATTTCATAATTGATACGATTATTCAACTGATATATTCGACTCGAGATAAAAGAAGACACAAAAAAAAATAGAAAAAATAAAAGACAAAATAACTTCCAAATAATTTGATCGACTAAGTCGCTTGTTTACGGCATCGAAACTCCAAGAGCTCTTGAGTGAACTCTGGGAAGTTGTATCGAAAAATAAGCTCTTCTGTTCATCCAGCACTCTATTTAATAATGAAGCTTTCCGCGAGGATACCTGTAAACATGCTGGAGAATGTAGTTTCTGAAGAATATAAACAATAAACTCTAGCGTAAGGATGTACCATGAATTGTCACATAGTCGTAGATAAATACGATCGATTTGTCCGGGATCCGAGATGTATTTTATCTGTTTTTATTTTTTCTTTTGTTTCCGTTTTTTTTCTATCCAATAAAAACAGAAAGAGAGAAAGAAAAAGACACAACAGAAAGAAAAAGAGAGAAAAAAGAGAAGAAAGAAAGAGAAAGAGAGAGAGAGAGAGAGAAAGAGAAATAAAGAAAAAGCGAAGAAGTTCTCGAGAGATACCCGGTAATTGTAAATATTTCCTTTTAATTATAAATTCTGGCTCGCTGTTACTTAGCGAACTTAAAAATTGACACAATCTCTGAAACCAAATAGACAGTCAAATAGTTCTTTACTATTTCACGCGATAATTATAAAAAATATATAGAAGGAAATATTTTTAATAGGGAAGATCATAAAAGAAATAAAAAGAGAAAAAGAAAAAAAAAGAAAAAAGAAACAATTGCAAAATAATCCTCTCAATATTCGACATTAATATTAAAATATTAACGTAGCTTAATCATCATCAAAACTTCGTTCGCTCACTTTCGCAACAAATTTAACACAATTTTGAGATGTAAAGGGGACTTGTAATTTGTTCGACCTCGTAGGTACAATCTGGTGCGGTGGACGTCATAAGTATCTACATACATACTACAAGAATAAGAGAGAGAAAGATATATATATATGTATAGAAAGAGAGAGAGAGAGAGAGAGAGAGAGAGAGAGAGATCCGTTTAATCGATGTTTAACGCTTCGAGTTCCCGAACTCGAAGTTCCTTCAGGCCGTAAGAACTTACTGTGTGATGGTTCAGACGCGAACTTGATATCTGCACGAACTGTCCTCAGAGTATTTTAGAACGCTTACGATTTCCCTCACGCTCCTTCGATCTATCTTTACGATTTACCTATTCCCACAAATTTTCGAGATTTCGAATGGCCGAGAGAGTTACGTTTCACTAGCTCTCTTCCCATCTACCCTCCTTTTCGACTAAAAGATCTCAATGTCCGCGAAAACTTTACATTCGGAGTGCTCGATGCTTCTATGACATATGAAATTTATATTATATTGAATATAAAAAATACTCTCAATACAATTTTATATATATATATATATATATATATATATATATATATATTAAATTTATAATATATTTCTTTGTTGTACATTGTACATGTTCTTTTATACAGTAATAATAATATTATATATATTCTTACAAGCAGACCTAAAGGAGTTCGGATGAACTCAAAACTAGAAGACCATTTCTAGGCATCCAGAAATTTTTATACATAACAACGAGTTGTCTATTTTCTAAGGGAACTCGGTTGGAGAAGACGTTGCTCACAAATGTTCTGAAATATCTAAATATTTCCTTAAAAGTTTGTAAAGTTGTTCATTGTAAATAAGTTGTTCTTGCTTCATTAATAAAATTCAATTTATGATAATTTCATTTTATTTTCGTTCAAATGCGTGATTGCATGTAATAATATATACTACAGTGTCGAAACTATCGTAAGGAAAAATGTCCACCAGGATTGTTATGAAATTCAATAATTTTTTCGAATAACGCCAAGATAGATCTCAATTTTGTTTTTAAAGGGGATAGGTTTTTCTCATAAATTTATCCACTTTTAACTAACCTCCTAAGAGTTTAACAACGCCCTCAAAAGTCTTAAATAGCAACAAGGGTCAAGGATTTAAAAGGTCTTTTAATTTTCTTCATAATAGAGCTATTTTTTTAATATTGGGTTAATAATTTTATAAGAAAATGTGATTCAAAGTTTCAAATACAATAAAATGCAAATTCAATTTTGGAAACAACTTTTATTTTATTAAATGTTCAAATACCGATTTCCATGCAATAATTTTTACTTAGTTAATCTTTACTCGATATATATATAGCGTAACGATATCAAATATGAAACATACACCTAATATAATTAAAAAAATAAACAACAGTATCCTCCGCATGAAACTGTCTAGACGTTATTAAGTTAGTTTTTCTCGTTACAAGTTTTTATAGTCATTAACAAACAAGTTTTGCATAATATAACATTAAAGGTAAATTATTTATTAACTTTAATTTATTTATTAGCTTCATCAATCAATTATTAGTATTATTAACCAATTCTATTAGAATTTTTCAAATTAATTTAATTTCTTTTAGGATGTTCCTAATATGAGATACTTGTAAAATATAAAAGAGGAGCAAATTGACAAGGAAGATAGTCCCAAATCGGAATTGGGTAACGATATAAAATATTTACTTTGTTCGTGCCTTTTTTATTCTAAGGACCACACTGGTAAACATGGATTGAATGCATGAATGTTGTGGAACTGCTAATTGTGATGTCTTTATACATATATTCAAATTGTCTTAAAAAAACAAAAAGATAAATTACTTTTTAATTTTAAATGATAATTTTAACTTTCAATTTTAATTTTAAATAAGATTTCATATTAGAAGCAATTTTTTTAAATCATTAATTTTACACTCTTTTATATTTTCTCTATTTTCATAATAAATAATGATATATACGAAACTAATATTTTTCTTAAGTATGTAAAAATGAATGACGAATATAGCAGTATGAAAACTTTGAATGTTTACCCTGTTAAAATTTCTTTTACCCTTCAAATTTTTATCTTTTCAGATTTCATATTCAATGTTTTTATTTTATATATAATTTTTATAAAGTGATTCTCTCTTTCGCTCTCTCTCTCTCTGTCGCTCTCTCTCGCTCTCTCTCTCTCTGTCACTCTCTCTCGCTCTCTCTGTCGCTCTCTCTCACTCTCTCTCTCTTTCACTATCTCTCTCTCTCTCTCTTTCTCTCTCTCTCTCGCTCTTTCTGTATATTATATTCGTATACTATATCGTATACTATAGTATACGACTATATAGTATAATAACACTGACATAGTATAATATTATATTATATCGTATACTATATTTATAAATTAGATTAAAAGATATGTAATAGTATAATACATATTTTATATATAATAGTAATAATATAATATATACTTATAATCTTATACTATAGTATACTTTTATAGTTACGATAAAGTAATTATAATAACGTATTACTTTATAAAAAATAATATAATATAACAAAGGAATGCACAATTATAAAAAACTGTAATGTACGAATTATAGTTTTTGAAATTTTATAGTACGAAACTATAATGTACGAATATTTTTTATACTTCTATAAATAGACATAAACATTAACACAGAAAATGAAAAAGGGAAACGAAGAAGTTGTGATAAAAAGTTAACATTTACAAAGATCGATCAAAGACAGGAATTTCCTTAAACTGACTTTTCAAATGTCAAAGTATTGCATATCGAGTGTTCGCTTTTCCTATTGATTAAAAAAAAAAGCACTAATAATAATAAGATCGTATTCTATACATAAATTCTTCATCAATTTCACAAATTCAAAATATAAAAATCTGAACGAAAAAGAAAAAAGACGAGAAAGAACGACGAATGACGACGAATACTCCAATGTCAAGAATGTGTGAATCTCAATGTGAGAATACTTTTAGGAATGCACAGCTTCTTTCGTACTTATAAACTTTTAATATCCATTACTTTCAAAACGAACGAAAAGATATTTTTATACAATATTTACTCTCACAGCTCGAATATCAAACATTTTTCGCCTTTTTCCATTCGTTATCGAACAGCCAACGTTTTTCGTTCGAGATTTTATCAACTTTAAAGGAGCTAAAATCGAAAAAAAAAAAAATATTTTTTATAGCTTATCTCGAACGAAGAATACTTCAAGATATTTTCATAATACAAGTAATTTTGAGTCATGATCGTTCACAATAACTAATTTTTGTAAAGTGATGAAAGATATCCCATTAATACTTAACGTCAACACAGAGTAGCTCTATTGCGACGAACACAATGATAATTTAAAGTAAAGAGAACGCACTTAGAAATTCCTGTGTGATCGCAGAACCCTTTCCTAGGAACGGACAGTCCGACAGGCGGACGTGCTCTTCTCTCGTAAATTAGATTCATGCTTCTGCATGCATATACACGGATATTTGTGCTCGTGGGTTTCTCGTCACGCACCACTCCTCAAAAATACATATGGCAGATACCTATAGCATTGGTATCTATGTAACGTATGTTGTACGTGTACGCGTATGTACTTAAATATAATATATGTAAGTATATATATATATATATATATATATATATATATATATATATATTACTTATACACACATATATATATATATATATATTACTTATACACATATATATATATATATATATATATATATTACTTATACACATATACACATATATATATACTTCTGATCAATTGCAAATCAATATTTAATAATATTGATAAAAAAAATTCTACTTCTAAGATATTAACTTGCAATGGTATACACAAATCGTACAGATCTACCGTCCAATCTATATCGATATTCCTTCGATAGATAAAGTTATAAAAATATATCGACAAGTTGACAATATCGAAGTAAACGATCGCGTCAAATTTACAACTCAACGAAATGCGAACGTTTTATAACGCGCAAAAACATTTCGTAGACAAGGTCGAATAACTCGACCGGCGATGGGATACCATAGTCCCCTGGAGAAATCTCTTCGTCGAATTCTCATAAATACGATCGAACGATGCATAAATCACTCAAACCTGTCTGATTCTCAGCAACATTGCTCCTGGGTGTTTTTAACTTTTTGCGTGACAATGAAAGCGATCTTGACTAGTCGCTTTCCTCGAAATAATAATTGATGATGAAACTACTATTTAAAAGTAAAAAAAAAAAAAGGAATCGAATGTCAGAGAATAAAGAAAATTAGTATAATGGAATAGAAAATTAGAGTGCGTGTCGTAGTAACTATTTGCTACGCATAAAGATCAGTCGAGAAAGGATCCGAATCGAATATTTTCAAATAGAATTAGCGTACGACTGAAGCCACCCCTTATATATTCATGATTTCCATATCCAGTTAGACATCTTTCACATTGAATATCACTCTCCCTTCCTTCTCTCTGTACTGACTACAACACCTACACAGCAGCTGATTCTCGACAATTCTCTACTATCCTAGACCAACCGGAGCATTTTATTTCCACATTATAAGCTACTTCACTTTAAAATGGTCCAATATAATTCCACTTTCTTATATTATCTACTTGGAGTTTTCCTATCTCGTTGAAGTTTTCTCTCTCTCTCTCTCTCTCTCTCTCTCTCTCTCTTCCTCTCTCTCTTTCTCTCTTTCCCTCTCTTGCTTTTCTAATTGGTCTGACCAAATATGATTCTCGACAAATTAAAATTCCTTTCGATCTACACGAAATTGCGACGTGCAGTTTGCGACGTTGGTAATTGAAAGTTAATTAAAAACGTGAGCTACCATCGTCTATTAAAGTTTACGCGAACGAAGTTCAACTTTTAATTATCCTACAAATTTTTCACTTGATATACATACAAAGTAAATTAGTAACTATTGTAATATAAAAAGAAATGTTTCATATGAAACGTTTAAAAAATATAGACAGAAAAAAACAATTTCGTCACTTTGGATGAAAATAATAAAAAATTATTCTATCTTTATAATTCTCATTGATCGTGAAGATCCAACGAAGACATTAGGATTCATCGATAAGCTCATCGCAGTATACGATTTTTATAAACTTTCCTCGTTCGTTCGAACGATCCAGGTTCGAAGTAATTGTTCGTACCCTAAAGCACGTTCGTAGAACTTTCTCTCTATATAGTAATGCGCGCATGAACTTTCTTCCTTTACTCCTGCTTCAAAGTATTCAACGGTAGATTTGCCGAAAGAGTATCGAACACGAACGAACAGGACGCATTCTGAAGTAACGTCGAGTTTCACCATTTACGATTCCCTGAACAATCTTAAAACAAAGCGAAAGAAGCTTTGTATATATACGTTCTCGATGTGTCAGTGCAAGCCAGTGTATTTTCCTTCGCCTGGAAAACGGCCGACGGTGGATTTGCCAAAGGGATTCAACTGAAAGAGAAAGAAAGAAAGAAAGAAAGAAAGAGAAAGAGAAAGAGAGAGACAGACAGAGAGAGAGAGAGAGAGTGAAAGAGAGAAAGAATCGACCGAGTTTTGAGAAGAAAAAAGAATGAAAGTTAGAAAGAAAGATATCTTTCGTGAGACTTTCTTTATCAGCCCACCGGATTCAAGAAATAGCCAACGATAAGGATAACGATCCGGGGTCCAAGACGTGACGTTAATTGGAAAAGGTCCACGATCGATGGCGATGATTCGCAGTAGCGATACAGGTCGAATAGTAGTCTGTGATAGTATTGATATATAATCCCGAAGGAAAGAGGAATCTTTAATTGGCTTCAATAGGATAGGAATAATTTCTTATTCTGAAAAATCTAGGCTGCCATTGACCCAGACTGTTTTAGTCTTAAATCAAATTTTAATCTAAATATAATATATTATATAATATAATATATACACACATAAACACATAAAATATACACACATATACACTTCCTATACTCGCTTCATTCACTATAATTCAAACTAATTATCTTTAAACATTTCTCTCCCCCTCCCCCTCTCTCTCTCTACCTCAACCAATCATAATTCTTTTGCACGTTACAAAGAGTAAAATCAATAAGAGTTATTCGTAGGATTTTAACGAATACCTTTTTTTTTCTCAATGGAAATACGATTGTGAACGAGTCAGAATAACGTCCGAGAGGGTACGATTTTCCGCGTGGCGGAATTAAAGAAAAATTGCTCTTCCCGTCTTGAAAGAATCAATTCCATTGAAGGACGTAAAAACGCAGAAACGCGGAAACTTGGATGCCACTCCTTCGTACTGTACCTATAGCAATGAGAAAAAGGCAGAAAAAGAAATGGAAGATGGGACAGCGAGAAAACGAATGGACCAAAACGAGAAAGAGAAAAAAGGAAAAGAGAAACAGTCCTTGTAAGAATCGTTCTCGTGTCCAAACGTCGTATAGTAGCCGCCCCCTTATAGCATCCTATCCTCTAACAGTGTAAAGCTTCCCCTAAGCCAGTTTCTCGTGTTTCACAATCTCAAATGAAACAATCGAGTACATTCGCGCTCGTCTCTTAGGGATGAGAAAATGGAAGAAAAGAGACGAGAATCTCAAGCATCGGATAGATACGAATCCTGTAAACACATCCAGATATAGCTCAACACGAGTTTCATTCTTCACAGCCAAGTGAAAGAAAGAAATAGAAATAGAAGAAGAAAGAGAAAGAACAAGAGAAAAAGAAAGAAAGAAGACACACTTCGCCACTCCATGTCTTCCTGACGCCTGTCTGATTACGAAAACAGGAATTTTTGAATAAACGATGCGACGAACTCGTTCAATGATCGGAGGATGTAACTACGTGTATTGATGAGTTCGATTTTCTAACTCGACTCAAGGCTTCAACGGAAGAGAGAGGGGATGAGGAGGGGTGGGGGAGGGATGGGCGTGGGGAGGGGGAGAGGGAGAGAGAAAGAGAGAGAGAAATAACGAATGTCTACAGAAATGGAAATTATAAATCGCTCGATAACACATGCGACCTAAAAATGAAAGAACCACGGCAAAACCACGACGTAATTTCATTTTATCTTCCACTTGACTGTACCTCTTCGATTTATCACAAAATTCTTCTTTTCTCATCTATTCGATAAACCTTTCCTTACGCCTAACTTACAAAATGAGATAACGATTTACAAAGAGATAACGACGATTAAAAATTGTTCAAAAGAGAAGAAGAATACTTTCACGATGCATGGCGCTGGACAAAAAGAATAAATCATACAATTCTGTGTGTTTATTGTCAGCTTTCTCCGCCATACTGTTTCTTTCTTTCTTTCTTTCTTTCTTTCTTTCTTTCTTTCTTTCTTTCTTTCTTTCTTTCTTTCTTTCTTTCTTTCTTTCTTTCTTTCTTTCTTTCCTTCTTTTTTTCACTGAAATAAACTAGAAAATACAAAATGCGAAATCGCCAAGGAACGAAGCTCTTCTTACCGAGACATCTGTTTAACGTAGTTACTAAGATAAAGAGAGAAAGAATGAAAAAAACGTACAGATATACGTACTTTGTCCATTAAGGTTTCTTTCAAGACACGTTAAAAATCTTATTTTTCTCCTCTCGTTTATATAGCCTGTTATCGAATCCATACAGTATCGTCGCTTTTCTCGGTTCTCCTCTTGGAATCTAAGGTAACGAATAATAACATTGATGGAAAGTTTCTATTCTAACTTACGAGCCAATGTTACCGAATTCATGGAAACTTGCCATTGAACAGGTATCGAGTAATAATCGAAAGGATAAAAGCAAATACGAAAAGTAAATAAATTCTAAAGAGTTACAGTTAACACGCTTCGATAAATATCGTCTTCTTACTCGCAACTCTTAACCCTTCGACTTCAAACGATTCTACCTTTGTCTATTTGGATCAAATTAACTAACAGGAACTGCAATAATAATTAGCAGCTTTCGACAAGACGAGAGACACAAATTGAAAGCCTCCAACAGGACTTCGAGCGTGTCGATGTGTTACTGACAGCCAAGTTCTATGGACGGCTGAACACAGACATTGCTTGTAGGACTTTAAAGCGCAAATTGCTCGTATTCCCTCGCTGATCGTTCAAGGCTTCCACTCGAACTATACTAAATTGCTTCGGTCACCTGACGAATGTTCGATCTCACCTGATCAAGTCGATTCTTCGCGTGTATTGTTTCGAAAATATATTATCCATCCTATAAAATATAATATCAATATATTATATACGACCAAATATCGATATCATCGTATTTTTCTTTTATTATTCACTTCTTTTTTCGATCACACGTTAACTTCCGATATTTATGATTTCTCGTAAACTTATTAAATTCCCAAGGTTTGATTAAAACCGTGAAATTCAAATATACCTTTCGTCCGACATGCTCATAAATTGGAGCTTTAATAAAACGCTCTATTCAAGGTTTCAATCGTGAACAAAACAAGCTCCCAAATAAAAAAATAAATACGAATGCATGGATATCTCGGAGATAAATAAATCATGGAAATGAGTTCATACTTCTATATTAAATTGATTCGATTATTTTCATCCATGATCGAATATAATATAAGCGAGTTATCAAAAATGAAAGGCCTTTTTTTACTTCGTTTCTAATATCTTCAAGAATAACTATTATTATAACTTGAATAAACTCCGTGGCATTGCACTAATGAATTTATCTTACTGCGATTATGACAATGCGATCAAAAAAAAAAAATAAATAAATTTCAAGCACAAGTGAAAAATCACTTTTAATCTTTGCTAATGAGACGAATGATTTTATGATATATTAGCTAAAAATAAAATTCATATAGAATTTAAAAAGAATTTTTCTTTGTAAATAAATAAAATGAAAGATTTCAATTGTGAAGTCAAACCAAATATATAAATAGCTAGCTAATAATTAAGACATTATTCTGACGAAAATCCCTGAAGTTTCTGACATCCAGTATATTCTTCGTCCCATGGCAATTAACGAAACTTCGTTTCGTCTCCCAACGTCTAAGATATTTTCCGCATTATCTTTCTCCTCCCAAGTGTCACGCTTCGTACTTGATTTCGCTATGTTCACGTGAGCAAAGGATGAATTAATATACCTATATGTATTTATCAATTTTAAAACATATTTGATCAAACGGATCGAGTTCAAAATTATAAAGAAATTATTGACAAAGAAATACAATGTACTATACATATATAGTATAAGTATATAATCTTGCTTCCATTACATTAATAACGTAAATTTTCATAATTTCCAAACGCGATATCGTTATATATATTATCTCGAACAAGATATTAAATCTGTATAAATATCACAAGATTAGTATGTAGTACTTCATGCATATTGTATGATATTATTGATTGTATTGAACGTATTACTTACGATTACACTTAATGATTCTAAATAAATATCATACAATAACAGCATTAAAAACATTTAGTTATATATGAAGATTCATAAATTTGAAAATTTCTTTGAAATTGTTATATCACACTTTTGACACATTGTGAAAGATTGACTTTTTGAACACTTTGTGCATATTATTATGATGGAAATATAAGTTAAATCATTATTTTTGAAGATTTCAAGGAAAAGATATCAAGGAAGCAGGAATGGAAAATGTATCGAAGAGATTCGTTTAAAAACAAAAATATATATACACAGTATATTTGGGTGTGTCTCTGTGTGTGTGTGTGTGTGTGTGTGTGTGTGATGGTGATGGTGATGGTGATGGTGATGGTGATGGTGATGGTGATGGTGATGGTGATGGTGATGGTGATGGTGATGGTGATGGTAATGGTGATGGTGATGGTGATGGTGATGGTGATGGTGATGGTGATGGTGATGGTGATGGTGATGGTGATAGTGATAGTGATAGTGATGGTGATGGTGATGGTGATGATGATGGTGATGATGACGGTGATGGTGATGGTGATGGTGATGGTGATGGTGATGGTGATGGTGATGGTGATGGTGATGATGATGATGATGATGATGATGATGATGATGATGATGATGATGATGATGATGATGATGATGATGATGATGATGATGATGATGATTTGTATTATAATGATATGACAAAAGAAGAGATAAATTCTTATGACAAAGAAGAAACATGGAAGACGATAGGATTGTACATTGTAGGAAGCAATAGCTTAGAATATTGATATTCACAACTCGAGACATACCTGATAAATTTCAGAAAAAATTCTGATTAAATTCCTTTGTCACAACCTTTTTTACCCAGAATTGAATGACTTGTAATTAAGTTAAATGTCGATCTGTTATCTTATGAGAATAAAGGAAATATTTTTTCCCCCTGAGACCTCCGATTGCAATAGCAGTCAAACTAATCTGACTGTCTATGCAAAATCACACTGTCAGCAATAACAAGAACTATTAGGAGGTGGTGTCTCACGCTCATGACACTTTAAAATCTTTTGATGTGGTAGCAATGATTTATCTACTGTAATTTCCATTCTGCGCATAACACGTTCTAACAGAATTTCTACTGCACGTTCAACATTTTGTCCAGTAGCAGCACTAGTTTCCAAATATACCAATCTGAAAATCAAGGTTCAATTACACTCTTTAAAGAAAAATTATAAGATTCACATTCATATCTTTTCTTTTTATATGTTTTTACATTGAAAAAGTTAATAGATCATAAATAAAATATCTTTAAGTTAAGATAAAATAATTTTTTAAAACTTGCAATTTATAAAAGAACTTATAAACTCACCCATGTTTCTCTGCTAGATCACGTGCTTTATACTCGCTAATAACTCGCTTATCCTCCAGATCAGATTTGTTACCACAGAGAATTATATCTGGATTTTCACAATATGCATGCATCTGTATATATATATATGGAAAATAAGAATCATTATAAAGGAAAAAAAGATTAATATAAACCTGTGATATGACAATCGCTTAATAAAGTATGAGTGGCTCATATACCTTTTAATTGAAATCGAACGACAATTTGAGTATTTGTCCAGCTCATATATAAACCTAATTGTGTTAATCAAAAGTAATATTGATAAGTGTCATTTCAAGTGCAACTACTGCATGCTCTAATCTAATTCTATCACCATGCTTAATATGACCAAACTAACAATGTTAATAAAATTCTAACAGACTTATTATGTAGTTAAATTGATTATAGCTCAAAAAATCGTCCGCAAATATACAACATATTAAATATATGTTAAAATAAATTTCCAATAATCTATAAAAAGACAAGTACCCTAAGCTGTTCCAGCCAATTTCTAACTTCAAGAAAGGAGGGCTCATTGGTCAGATCAAAAATTAATAAGAAACCCATAGAATCCCGGTAAAAGGCCGTGGTTAAACTTCGAAACCTGAATGTTAATGATATTAATTTAAACTAACTTTATTAGTTTTGTTTTCTACATATTATGTTATATATATTATAAAAATATCATGCACAGCGCTAAGAAAATTTATTAGATTTTGAAGATGTTGTCGCAAATATATATTGTTATTATTTAATAATGTATTTATTAATGTATAATCATGCAATTTCTCAAATATATATGTTTACTTCTAAATAAAAAAAAAAATCATAAAAATATCATAATTTCTATAAAATTACTTATGCTGTAAGATTGTAGTTTAATGTTATTGTAGCTAATAAATATTAATAATGTATTTACCTCTCTTGGCCAGCTGTATCCCAAAGCTGTAAATGTACTCTTTGGCTACTTCCATCAGGCATCTGATATATCTATAACCAAAGCAAAGTAATTAATAGGAATACAATTTATATGAGAGATTTAAAGTTAACTAAAACCAAATGCTGTAAATAAAATGCATACTTACAACTCTCTTTTCTTTAAAATCAATCCCAACTGTGGAAACAAAGCGTGAATTGAAAGTACCATCGGTATACTGATACAGAAAACTGGTTTTCCCAACTCCAGAATTCCCAAGAGCCAAAAATTTGATCAAGTAATCATAATCCATTTTTTATATATTTTTATCTTAAATATTTTCTCTGTATAAGCAATTAATATATCTTAAAGGTACAACAACTCCATAAAAAATGAATCGATTTAATGCGTTCACTGCAATATGCCTCTCGTTATTTTGCACGAAATATAATCCATCTAAAATTAATATTTCAAGTATATAACTGATTCACAAACACGAAACATGTGCAAAATTAGACATTGCCACCTGTTGCCCACGTAAGCAATTTTCAAAAGATTCGCGCGTAACAATTCAGTACGCTGCACAACTGGAACACTATTTATTTCAAGAATATGAAGTATTATCGTTTTATATTAATAAGCTCGTGAAATACTTTACTGTATTATTTTTCTGTGTATTATAACGAAATGTAATAATTCGCTGTCACATCAAGAACAGCCGACATATGCATACATGAAAAAATGGCGCCGATTGGCTCAGTGCTACCAAGGTCGACGTAGCAATTTCAAATGGCTTCAAAAAGAATTCGACTTTTTTTTAATCGTTTTTAACAAAAGTTTCACTGTCTTATTCGTTTGAAATATAATATAATAAAATTGCATAAATATTGTTACTTCTTTCCATTGATAGTTTGTATGTTGACGTTAATAACATAAATCGATCTTTCCATAAGAGGTATATAAATAAAAACGAAATGAGGACATCGTCCGAGTTACAACTGTAAACTATCGATACGTATTACCCTACATATGCATATATTTAATTCTACATTTTTTATTTAATATGAAATTGATATATTAATGTTGGTAGTAATGTATCATAGCAGATACAATTGAAGATTAATTTAAATTAAAATAATTTACAAAATTATATCTATCTAATATGCATGATGTTAAAGTTAACATCGAATATTGGTAAATATATTAATATTTATTATTATAAAATCCTATTATAAATTGCAATAAATGTTATTGCAGCATGCAAAGAAAATTATAACCTCTTGATAAAATACTTAGATTTATTGATGCTAAAACAATAATCAAAGTCAGTTTTACTAAATACATTTGAAACTTTTTTACAGTGAAACCTGTAACTATAAGCCACAATTTCTTGATATGGTCAATTTAATAGAGAAGAATGTACCAACAGCCAAAGTCTCTGGAACCGAAGGAAAAGAAGGTAAGACAACTTTTATATAAAATTTTATATATTAAAAATAGATACAAATTTGTTATTTTCTTGCAGGATCCTTTGAAATTAAAATTAATGACGAATTAGTTTATTCAAAACTACAAACACTAGCATTTCCTGACTACGAAGCAGTATGTGAAACTATCAAAGATGTATCAAATGGTGAACCTGTAAAAAAAGTTACAAAACAACAACCTATAGAATGTATAATATCATAATATTCTAGTTAAAAAATTCCAGGTAAAGTATAAAATTTATATGAATGTAAATTTTATATATATATATATAATATATATATATAAATATATATATATATATTATATATATATATATATAATATATATATATAGCATAGTATAATATATATATATATATATTATTTCATATCAATCAAAGTACACTGTATCTCCAATATTTAATATTTCTTCTTTTGTTGTCAATCTTGTAAGATATATGCCAAATTTTAATTTTCCATGAAATTCCTCTGCTAATGTACGTAATGGTTCTACCGTTTTTATGCCTGTTGTTTGATCAATGCATATCATTTGACATCTTGTGCAAGATCCATTTACCTAACATGCATAATAATATTTACAGGTTGAATTCTATGCTCCAATTAAGACTAATATTATTAATTTGTATAAATGAACAACCTGGAATTCAGTTTTGCCTATTCGTATTAATTTCCATGAAAGTTCTTCAAAAGCTTTGCAGCCACTTAAAACAATGTTTCCCCTAAATCTATGTAATACCGTATCTTTGTTAAAATCTTCTGCATTAACAATTCTACTACATAACCATGATATACTTTCTTCATTCAATAATAGATATTGAGCTTGACTCGAAAAGGATAGTTTTGGATTATGTAATCCTTAAAAAATGTATAGTTAGAAATGCACAATGAAATGTATATAAATTAAGTATTCTTTTAATGTACCTTGCTTTAGTTTGTCTTTGATTTCATGATTAATTTGCCTAACAAGTTTTAAATTTGGATGACCAATAGCTAAGCTCAACCACTCAGACACATCTTCTCCACAATCAATGCCTTGAACTTTTTGTCCGCAAACTCTACTTTGGCATATTGTACCATTTACATAATCTTCAGAATACTTCAAAGGTATTTCTACTAATGGCATTCCTAAAAGATTTATTGTAAAATGAAAATATTAAATAGTAATCATTACATCATTACTAGTAAAGAAAAAATTTCTTTCTAAGAATAGTTCATTTCAATTTTACCTGGATATGTTAATCTTATGACTTGCGTTTCTTTGGATATAAATGGTTTAATTAAACAAAGATTAGTTTGTTGCTTTTGAGTCAAACAAATTCCATTTGATGTCATTATCATCCATTCTCTATCATATTCTAAACCTTTCTCATTCAAAGTCCAAGAAGTAGTTATTTCAAATGCTCCACATGATTTTATAGGATATATAAACAATCGTTTTAGAGTAATATTACTTTTTAAGTTATTAGTATTTTTTAAATATTTTGCACCATATAAAAATGATGAATACCATGCCTTATCCTCAAATTCTTTTATATTATCTTTATCATTTATAAGATATTTCTTATTTTTAGTCTCAATATGATTTAATTTACGAACTTCTGATATGCTTAAATTTTTTTCTGATTTGCTCAAAAAGCATTTAGTTATCATTTGTAATAAAGTCTCAACATCTTCGATCACAGACATATATCCAAATGAAATTCGTATAGCACCAGTTGGTTTACCATTTATTATATCTGCAGCACCACCACATACATAGCCTGCATCATAATTTTGTAAAATTTCTTCATTTTTAAGGGATAGATGTCTTTGGCATGCACCAGGATTACAGAAACAACCAGTTCTGAGATGTATTTTAAAAAGTGCAGCCATATGTGCAACTTCCATATATCCAACATATTCGCCATTGGACCTAAGAATATTAAATGTAACAATTCCTCCTTGTAAGTTAGGATCTTCATAGTCATTGTCTGAATAAATTTTTACAACAGGTGCACCATTACAATGATGCAATCTTAATAGAGTGTGATGCAAATATTTAGCAAGTGCGAATACATGACTTGATATTTGCTTTATACTAATTTTTAGAAGTATATCTAATCCATATTGTAGTGATATTATAGATAAAAATGGTATGGTTCCATCTTCGAATCTATTAGTATTGTAATATTATAATTAAACATTGTAATATTATTAAAATATGTTATTTTCATTCAAATATGTTTATCTTATTTACCTTTGATATAAGTTTTGACGCTTCACATGAAACATTTCAGAACTAAGAGAAACATTTACAGTGCCTCCTCCGTAATAGACTTTATCAAGAACATCTGCACTAGAATTTTTTACTATTAAAGCACCAATACCAGTTGGATATCCAAACATCTTATAAAAAGATATACACACAAAATCTGGTTTAAATATGGATAAATTTAAATCATTTGTTGGTACAAAACCTGCTGCATCCAGGAGAACATAGCACTTTGTATTTAATTGACCAGTGACGCTGGAAAGCACATTATTGTGTACATTTTGAATCCATTCGAGTGGATATTTTGCACCAGAAAAATTGCATTGGGCAGGATAAACAAAAAGAGAATTATTGTCACTTGCTACATTATTATTTGAAGAATTTACTGGTTGTTCTAATACTTGAAATGCATGTTTATGACTAAGACAAGTTATTTTAACCTTTTTTTGAGAGACAATCTCTCTCATTCCAAGAACTGAAGTATGATTGTCTTGCATATAAATAAAATGTCCTGTAGATTGAAAATGAAGATCATTATTTTTATTATTCGTAAAGCGAAATGTTTCAGCGATAATTTTTAAAGATTGTGTTGCTCCTGATGTAAAAATAACACTGTATTCTTCTGATGATGTGTGAAAATGACTTAATATTCTAAAAAATCATAATATATAGAAAATAATACATTCAGTTACACAGTAGTTAAATTTGTTAAAAAAGTATTTACCTATGTCTTATTTGTTCAATGTTATCATGAGTAATACCACCTGCAAGGCCAATAGAATGTGGATTACCATAAAGGGAGTTACATAAATCATCGCTTACATTTTTGATTTGTGTTTTGGAATAAAGTGTAGCACCAGCATGATCCAAATAACATTGTCCTAAATAAAGATAAAAACAATATAAAATTCTTTTACTGCAGAATTATACATATACTTGCAATTAATTCGTTTTTTTTTCCTAAATATAATGATAATTACAATGGTTCCATATGCTATATTTATTTACCTTGAAGTCTAGAAAATTCGTTTCCAATATTCGCAGCAATCCTCTTGTCGTAAACAGAAGTGTATGTCAACATTTTTTTTGATGTCTCTTCCATTCTTCAATTTCTTTGAAGTACCACTTAAACTTCTTACGTTGCTATGACTGTACCCAATTATGTGCATTGCATGTTGTAACAAATAAAGACGGAAAACGATTACTTAACATGATTGCAGCCATTGGTTACTATCTTGACTACTTATTGAATAGATTATAATGGAAATAATAAAGTACAAAGTCAAGTGGTAATAATCTACGCATTACTTATGATAAATATTGAAAATATTTTAAAGTTTTTCAAGTAAATTCATTTGTTATGACGTATTTAAATATTGCTTACACAACGATCGTAATAACAATCTAAACACACACATATCAATTTTATACAAATTATACATACATACTTATGACCGATAATGAAGTCATGATTACATATGTATTTAAGTTATACTGTATGCTATGTGTATTTTTTATTTCCAATTTTATTCAAATATATGAATATACTGTGAATTGTTATTTTCATTAATGTGTAATTTTTTGATGTAAAACGGAATTATATACACTTAAGCAAATATTTACATCATTTGAACTTCTACAAATGTTTTTATTAAATTTTCAAAACAATTATTAAGAATTTTTATTTATTATAAATATTTAGGAAGATTATTCTCGTGTGACGAGGTGGCCGAGTGGTTAAGGCGTTGGACTGCTAATCCAATGTGCTCTGCACGCGTGGGTTCGAATCCCATCCTCGTCGATTTCTTTTTTGTTTACAAATTTTTTTTGTTGACTAATTTATAATCATTGTATATATATTACATGATACACATGGTTCTTATTTTATATACATAATTTACATTTACAATCTCATGTACTAGTTATAATCGCCAGTAGATAAGAAGAAATCTGTAGATAACATTGACAAAACAATTTACATTTAATATGAAGTTACGCAAATATCATTTTTTATTTCTTAAAAATAAGATGGCAGAGAAAGAAAAAAAAGTTGTGAAGAAACAAAAAGTTTCTAAATCTGACAATGCAGAAAATGATATTTCTGATTTTAATAATGAACAAATTGAGAATGTTAATTACAATATCGATGTAAATTACACACATCCTATAGTAACCGAGAAAAAAGGTTTCGTAGATTTGACAGATTATGAAAGAAATTATGAATATATAGAAACTCATGATACAGCACAACGAAGTAAACGTCAGTTTATTAAAAAATCGAAGGGCTTTATAAATATAAAAGATCAGCCAGAAAAAGAAGCAAATGGTGAAAATATTTCGCCAATATTTTCGGATGAAAATGAGATTGAAAAATATACGAAAAAATCGAAGAAGATGACTGATAATAAGGAAAAACATGAAAACGATACAATTAACAAATCGATTGCGGCAAAAAAAGATGGAGATGACGTCAAGTCAAAAGATGTGTCGGGTATGAAACAAAATATATGTGTGTATATGTATGTACATATAACGTAAAGAAAATTAGACATTATATTATATTATTTTTAATATATATATATATATATATATATATATATATATATATATTAATATATAAAGAGTGCCCGCCCACAGATGTTTAAGCAAATGTCTTACGATATTTTATAAAAGAAGTTTGCATTGATTTACTACAAAATGCAAGTCAACAATTCTTTTTTGCTCGTGATCTCTTCAATTGATGAAAATTAACATAGTATTTTTAAACGACTGCCTATAATTTGTTTACATATTCATATAGTAGTGATTATTTGCAAACAAAATCATATGTCGAAATCGTATGAATCATTTGTAGAAATTTTTGATTGGATCATTGAATGAATCGTTTACGAAATAACTGGCATTTTAAGTCTTTAAATAGTTGGTTTTCCATATTACATTTGAAAAACAATTGTCGAACTACATATTTTGAAATCAGTTACATCGAACAAGATCATTAACATTCAACTCGTCAAAATACACAACTACTTGATTTGTAAATAACGTATTTGTATAGTACGGAGTATAAATTACAATACAATGTGAATTTATTAATCGATCGTAATCATGCCGATTATCTTGTAAACAATGCATAATAGCAATTTTTTAATAGATATAATTTTGATTGCAAACGAGCACTACTATATAAAAATGCAAAAAAGATTATAAGTATTCACTTAAAAAAACTATGTTGATCTTCATGACTTGAAACGGTTACTATAGACTTAAAAATTTATTTTTACGTACACTTTGTAGCTGATTCATATCCGTGTAAATATGTCTTATTAAACTTCCTTGTAACAGTTGTGAGATATCTGCTTGGTCATCTATAAATAGATACTTTGTATATACATACATACATACATGCATACATTTATACATAGATACATACATATATAGTGGCGAGCATATAAATAAAAAAATATTTATTCTTAAACTAAATTTCTGATATAATTATGGATTGTTTATATTTTTATTAGTATTATACGTCGTTGGAAAGTGCATTTTATAGACGTTGAATAACTATAATTGTTAAACTAATTTTACCTTTATTTTCAATATAAAATCAAATACACATAGTATGGAGCAATAATCAACAAGCAACTAAATAAGAAAACATTATAAAATTAAAATTTGTCGGTTTTATTTGACACAAAATAATGATTTTTTATAATGATATTTAATAATGATTTTGAAAGGTCCACCTTTATTCCTGATCACTTCCGTACATCTACGAGATAGAATTAATAAATCGTATACAACGAACAACTGAAATATTATTCCATGCTAATTCAACAACATTATATAATTTGTTAATATTAGATAGTTTCTTTTGTTTAACAACAGTTTTTACATCGTTCCAAAGAGTTTCTATCGGATTTAAATTGAGAGATTGTCATAATATTAACATGGTGGTCACTTAGAAAATGATTTGCCTTACGAGATGTGTGTTTAGGATCGTTGTTTGGTTGAAAAATATAGTATTCTAGCAAATTCATTCATAGCAAAAGGAAATAAATAGCGATCTAAGATATCAACATAAACATGCTGATTCATAATTCTTTCTATTCAACAAATTGGATCAAGACCGTTCATAGCCATCCCGACCCAAACCATTAAGGAATCATCGCCTCCTTTAGTGGTTGGTTGTAGGCACTTCTCCTTGAATTCTTCGTCTATATTTTATCAAACATATATTTTCCCAACTAAAACGAATCGATTAACCTTTGATTCATCGGTGAAGATGACTTTAACTCATTGTTCTAGTGTCCAATCAATGTACTCTTTAACGAAACGTAACCTTGATTTTCGATTTTTTTATTATGAATGGTATTTTACGTGCAACACGATCCTTTTAACTCAAACTCATTCAAATGTTTTCGCACAATGTGAACATTAATTTTTGATACAATATGTGCTAAAATTTCAGAATGAATTGCAATTTTGAAATGATCGTTTTCTGAGAGCCGATGAATTAAACGATCAATGCGAGGCAGTATTTTTCATGGTCTAGAGGCTCGCAGAATAATTGCCATTTTCATCTATATGCTTCAAAGTTTGGTGACGGGCAGTAATAGAAATATCCAAACGATTTGCAATTTCACGAAGTTTAAAATTTTGTTTACGCAATTACAAAATTTCTCGTTGTATATCCAGTGTAACGTGCTTGCTTCCACTCATAATGACAAAGCAGGAAATGAAAAATAAGCAAATATAGATTAAATATTTTCAATTTAACGAACTGCAGACATTCACAATACAAAGAACTTCGTACAACTGTTAGTAATAAGACGTTTTCTTATTCACGTGCTCGCTTCAAATGTGCTGCTATACACTGTTTACCGTCGTAAAGGTCAAACAACAACTTTAGCTATGATGTATTATATATCAATTTGTAGCTTAAAGTATACACTTTCTGGAAATATTGACTTTATATATTATTATTTTAGAAAACAAAAACAGATTAAGTTTAAGTTTACAAAAACATTTTTCTTATTTATATGCTTGCCACTGTATATATATATATTTTTTTTTTTTTATTTTATAATTAAGTTCAAATATCTACGTGTAAATTTAAATATAAAAACAAAATAAAAAAAAATAAATAATAAATAAAAAAACTTTTAGAACAAATCACTGTATTGCCAGAGGAAGCATACGTCCAACATATGGAACGCGTCATTGCTTTAAAGACTCTTCCTTCACGAGACATAGAAATCCTTCAAAATTTGTACGCTCGTTATAACTCCGATAAGAAGCAAACACCTACAGCAAAGAAAATTTATATCAAAACTGATGTTAATACTTCGGAGCTTAACGAAAGTAAAACTGATACTCGCGATGAAATAGAACAACCAGCGACAAGTGAGAAGGAGAAAGTTATTCTTGATTCAAGTTCCAAGGATCTTGCGAAAGACATTCTCCAATCAGATATGCAGGACATAACTGAGACTCTTACTTCGATTGAATCACCGATTCCTGACGATAAAAAATTGGAATCATTGGAAAACGATTTATTTGTAAACAAAGACAAAATTTTAACGAGTACACCGAAGACAAATTTGGTCAAGAAACTCAATGCTACATCTGATCTCAAAAATGCAAAGAACAATGAATGCGATATAAGTTCTATGACAATCGAAAGTCCTTTTTCTGATTTCACCCTCAAAAATATAGAACTGAGAACGAATTTAGAAAATAGCGTAGTCAAAGAACAGAATGTCTTATCTGATATTAGCAAAACTTTGCCTAGTAGTATAATGCCTAGCGATAATGAAAAAATTAAACCGGTGGACGAATCTAAAATCATTTTACAATTTTCAGACAAAAAAGATATTATTGAAACAAAAGAAAATATCTCTAAGGCCGAAAGCGACGAAGCATTTATAAAAAAAATGTTACTCTGTCATTGTATCGATGTAAAAATGGATACGAAGAACAATGGGAATAATAGTAATAATAATAATAATAACATTAATAATAATGCATCGATAATTGAACGAATCCGTAGATATTTTTTATCTTTGCTAATAGACTATTTGGTATCTTCACAAATACCGAATATCAAGAATAAAATTTCACCTTACTATTAATGATTATTTATAAAGGATAATTCATCCATTCGTGACTTCTATGAGAACTTGAGATTGCATAAAAAATTATTCCATGTATTTTGTTCAATGTAAAAACTTATTATATTTCTAATCATGAGTCCAAAATTAAAAGGCAAGGGGCCCCGGGGGGATTCGAACCCCCGATCTCCTGTTTACTAGACAGGCGCTTTAACCAACTAAGCCACGGCGCCTTCGATAACT